GGGGCTCTACTTCCAAAAATCAGCCACTGAAAACTCTACGGATCCCAATGGTCCCATTCGCAGCCCATGATAGGGATGATGCAAAACCAGGCAGCATTTTGTTCCATTGTGCACGGGGTCACCACGAGTCAGGAGTCAACTCCACGGCAACTAACAACAACAACCATGTGCCCTACCCAATGTGCTGCCTGCTGGGAGCAGTGAGACACAGTCCCTGCCCTCAAGAACAATGCCAAACATTTGTACAGCACATAGAACATGCCAGGCCTTGAACTAAACATTTGACCTGAATTACTTCATCTCTCCCTTACAAATAACTCTGAGGTAGGGACTAATATTAGCCATATTTTACAGAAGAGGCAATAGAGGCACAGAGCTTAAGCAACTTGCCCAACATCAGACAGCCACTAGCTGGCAGAGCTGGCATTTAAACCCAGCCAGTCCAGCACAGCCTCCTGGATCTAGAATTAAAAATAACTGCTAAATTTGCCATGTGTCAGGCTCTGCCCATTTAACAGAGAGCTCATATAGCAAAGAACATGGCAAGAAGCTCTTGTCCACTGGGGCAGGTACCTGGCTTCACAGGTAGGCTCTGCTGACTTCCAGCTGTGGGACCCTGGACAAATAATTAACCTCCTCTGTAAATGGGGGCAAAACAAGTCTAACTCATAGGATTGCTGTGAGGATTCAAATGAAACGATACAAAGTATTCAGAACAGTGCCTGATGCCCAATAAGTGCTATAAAGTGGAATCATTACGAATCCTCAGAAGCAGTTCTCTCTAGATTGTTATACTTTATTAACGAGGCTCTGTGGCTAGGAGAGGGTTAATCACTTGCCCAAGGACCCGGAGGTGAGATTCAGACCCACATCTCCCTGGAACTACCACCAGGATCCAAAGCCTTGCTGCTTCCTGGGGGAGTGAGGACATAGTCCATCTAGTCCCCTCCCTCATCAACAGCTGCAAGGACAATTCTGCCCCCGCCCCAGCAGCCCCAGCCCCTAAGGGTTAAGGTGGAGATAAATGAGGATCTAAAGAGAATGCTGAAAGTACCGTGGACTGCTAAAAGAACTAACAGATCTGTCCTAGAGGAAGTGCAGCCAGAATGCTCCTTGGAAGCAAAAACGGCCAGACTTCGTCTCACCTATTTTGGTCATGTTGTAAGAAGGGACCATTCCCTGGAGAAGGATGTCATGCTTGGTAGGGTGGAGGGTCGACGAAAGAGTGGGAGGCCTTCAACGAGATGGATTGATAAGGTGGCTGCGATGATGGGCTCAAGTATGGCAGGGATTGTGGGGCTGGCGCGGGATCGGGCAGTGTTTCGTTCTGCTGTGCATGGGGTCACTATGAGTCGGAAACGACTCGACGGCACTTAACAACAACAACAACAACAAAGAATTCTCCAGATCCCTTTCCCCAGTGTTAGCCTGCAGAAGCCCCAAAGCCTGTGTGTGTGTATGCTGGGGGTGGCAATGGAGTGACAGTCTGGGAAGACAGGACAGTCTTCCAAAAGCAGCAACTATAAACAGGACACTGTCATTCCACACCCTACTGTCCTTCCCCTCAGCTGAGCCCAGCCCAGCAGGCAAGTCAGCTGCCTCTGCAAATACGTAAACACGTAAATTGCATGGGAGAGCTGGCAAAGCCACAGAGGGAAAGGCAGATACCAAGACTAGAGGAGATGACGGCCTAGCTCGAGACCCCACCAAGGTGGAGGGAGGAGCTGGCTTTCCAGAAAGGGGCATCCGCAGAAACGGTGGCTCCCGAGGTCTGGAGACTGAGCAAGGATAGAGGAGGGGCGAACAGGGGAAGGGAGAGAGGTAGGATGGACAAGTCTGTTGCAGCCACCCAGGATTAGGTGAGAGGAGGTGAGGGAGGCCCCAGGGTGGCCAGCCATGCAAGGGCCATCTCTCACGCACGGGCTTGGGTTAGCCCATAGATAGCTGGGAAAGACCAGGGGATAGGCTGAGTCTCCACGTGGTTCTGGATCTAGGCTTCACTCTTGGCGGTAAGGAGGATGTCACATCCCCTCCTGTCAGCTCAGGGAGGCGCCCACATGTGTGAAACTGCTAGGACAGAGCCATGAGCATTCCTTGGCGCTGGCAGTCTCTGTTCCAGCCAGGAGGGCAGCTGTGAGGAGGGAAGGAGGGGACACACAGCCGCTGGGGAAGCAGGGGCGCCAGCTGACAGGGTGTGGAGCCAAGAGCCCCATGTTCCACAGAGCTCTCCACAGAGCACCGGACCCAGCCATCCAGGGCCAACACCCCACCGCCCACGTGGTTCTTGTTAGGCTCATTAGCAGCAAAAGAACAACAGGCAAACAGCACCGGGATCAGCTAATTAGCACACAGACCTTCACGGGCAAGCAGACGTCAAGTAGGAAGGCCTGTACCCACCGGCAGTTTGTTCCAGGAGAGCCGCCAGTCTGCGTGCCCAATGAGAGGGCAGGGTAAGAAGGCCAGGCAGAGAAGCCACAGTGAGTGAGGACCCAAAGGGTGGAGGGGACTATGTCTAGAGTGGGTACTGGCAGCATACTGGACCAGCACCCCAGTGGCACAAGGGTGCACACACGCAATGGTACTTTGACAATGTGCAGACTCACCCAACCCCGAGTTTCCAGTGTTGAAACTCCATTTTGGCAGAGTCATGCTGGATAATCACGAGCAAGTTAGGAAATTGAAAACCTCCAGGGCCAGAGGGTTCAAGTGAGGCCCATGCCCAGACCCCTCTGGCAGCTGGAGAGAAGCCCACCCCCTCAGAAGCCACTCAGCTCCGGCTTCAACTCAAACCTCAGCAACACTCTCCACCAGCCAATGTTGCCTCCCAGCAGAGGCTAAGCTTGATGGAACATACCAACCTTCTTCCCCGCCTGCTACCCCAAACCCTTCCCAAGCCTCCAGAGTCCCCTTAGGTACCGCTACTCAAAGTGTGGTCCATTGACCAGCAGCATCAGCATCCCCTGGGAGCTCGTTAGAAACACAGCATCTCCAGCCCCACCCCAGACCCACTGAATCTGAACCTGTACTTTAATAAGATCCCCAGGAGGGTAGGGTCCAAGGCCATCTTCCTATGATTGACCCTGAACCCTACATTAGAGTTTTTGGTTCTGGCTAGAATCACCCAGGGTGCTTTTAAAAAACCTCAGTGCCCAGGTCTCATGCCTAGAGAAACTGCTTAATAGAAACCCACCCTGGCCACCCACACCCTGGCATCTCTATCCTGTGGAGTCACTCAGAGCTGACTCTGAGTCCCGGATCCTTCTCTAATGAGCTGTGTGACCTTAGGCAAGTCATCACCTCTCCAACGCTCACTTTCTTCATCGCTAAAATGATGAGGGCCAGGCTTCTCTCCCTAAACCCTGCCCCAGCTGCAGAGGGCCTGACCTCTGAGAGCCCCCGCTGACGCGGCTCCCTGGAAAAGGAATAGGTTTCCAGGCCAGAGATCTGCTCTGGTTTGGTTTAGGTTTTGGGGTTTTGGTTTTTCTGAAGGTGGAGACAGAAGATTCTGCATAAGCTGCATCCTCAGACTGGGAGAGGGGCGGGGCCATGAGGTGAACCAGCACCTCCACCCCTGCAGAAATGGAAGCATCCTCATCTCATCCCCATCTCACAGGCTTTGGGAGTAGAGAAGAGGCTATCCAATCAGTGCAGGCAACTCCATGAATCTTGTCATGCACCTGAACTCCAAAAGCCAAAACCAAACCTCCTTGCCATCGAGTCGATTCCAACCCACAGCGACCCCCATTGGGTTTCCAAGGCAATAACTATGGAAGTAGAGTGCACCATCTTCCTTCTACGGAGTGCCTGCTAGGTTTGAACCGCCAACCTTCTGGCTAGCAGTCAAACACCTTAGGCACTACACCACCAGAGTAGCTGTGAAACCCTCACACTGAAAAGGACCTGGGTGCTTTTCCTGGAAGGAGGAAGGAGTGCTGATGGGACTGAAGCTTTACAGGCAAGCTTTGGGCCTGGCAGAGGACAGTGTCAGCTACAAGACAGCCAGGTCAAGTCCTACCTGTAGACATGTTACAAAGTCCCCTAGGGATGCTACAAAGACCGAGGGCTGGTGAGGGCCCAAGAGGAGCTCCGAGTGCAAAAGGGAAAGATTCAAGGGGCTCCCTCAAAGGCCCACGTCTGTGGGAATTCCAAGCTCCAGAACACCCCAGCCTCAGACTGCCTGGGTGCAGCCCCAGCTCTACCACATGCACAAGTGTGTCCTTGACCACCGCTCCTAACCAACGTGAGCCTCCGTTCCCTCACCTGTAGGTGGGGGTGAAAACTAAATACAGTGACACCTGTGAGAGCTGGAATCCAACAGGACTGCCTTGTTCCTCTGGGTCTCGTCAGTTTTCTGCCTTTGACAGGGTGTGGCCTTATTTCTTTTCTATTACACTCTTACGAGTGGAAAACACTTGCGTTTTCCTTCTCTGACAGGTTCCCACCTTGACTAGATTCCAGCTCTCGCAGATTTTACTATACCTACTTCGTAGGATTAGTGAGGCGCTAAGCCAAGACCAGGTGTGTGAACACTCAGCTGTTAGCTCGTAGGAGTATGATCACAGTAATGGCGTAGGACCAGTGGGTTGGTAGCCACATGCTGTAGTAGTTTGGTGGTGCTGATGGTAGTAGCACTCACATGTTCACAGATGTAGGAAGTGAGCCCCAGAAAGATAAAGTAAGATACCTGGCAGCAGAGTGTAGTGATTGAGAGGGACCCTAGAGTCAGGTTTTTTTTTTTTAAAAAAAGCTGCCACTGTAGTTGATTCTGACTCATGGTTACCCCATATGTTTCAGAGAAGACCTGCAGTCCACAGGGTTTTCAATGGCTGATTTTTCAGAAGTAGATTGCCAGGCCTTTTTTCCAAGGTTCTTCTGGGTGGCCTTGAACCGCCAATCTTTTGGGCTGTGGCTCAGGAGGCAATAGTGCAAGTTCTGGAGCCCCGCAGCCTGGCCCCCTTCCATAGGGAGAGGGGTGGGTGAATGGGAGAGAAGGCACTCACGTTTGATACAGTGGTTGGTGCTGTTCGCTGTCGTCCATCCTGGGCAGCACTGTCCCCCGCAGACGTTCCTCCTGTTGGGTCACCAGAACCAGGTCAGCACAAGGATGATCAAAGCAGGACCATTCACAGAGTGCCTCCAAGGGTCCTACCTTTGACAGGCAGGGTCTCAGGTAACACTGACGACTGAGGACTGAGGCTGTGGGGGCCCAGGGGCAGGTACTTTGGGAACAGGCAAATATAATCTTGAATTCTGACTCTGCCATCCTCCATGTGCTACTGAGAAAGTAAAGTAACCTCTCAACCTCACTCTCTTCATCCATAAAATGGAAATAATAATGACTGCCTCTGGTGGCATAGTGCCTAAGGCATCTGACTACTAACCAGAAGGCTGGCGGTTCAAACCCACCAGCCACTCCTCAGAAGGGAGGTTGGGCAATCTACTTCCATAGTGATACCACCTCGGAAACCCAAGGAGGGGTCACTATGACTCGGGTCCGACTCAACGGCAGTGAGTTTGTGTTTGTTTTTGTTTTGTTGACTGGGTTGCTGTGATGAGATAGGGCTGTCATTCATGTGACTCGAAGAAGACACTCGACTGTGACGATGATGACAGTGACCATGAAGATGATAAAGAAGTAAATTGGAAAAGTTCAGCAACCTACCAAGGAGACACCACAGGAAAGTGGCAGAGCCCAACTCAAGGCTGGGTTGGCCCTGTTCCAAACCATGCTCCAATTCCACATGGCCTCTCCCCAAAAACTAAACACATGGTCCTCATATTACAAATACTGACAATCCAAGAGAAGCTGGAAGACACAATGAAGGTCCTGGCCAGATGCTGTGGGGTCCCACCCATGGCGACCCCTGCTTGTCACAGCAAAGCTGCACTCCATAGAGTTATAAGGACTAATCCTTCAGAATTACATCCCAGGCCTTTCTTCCAAGCCACATCTGTGTGGACTTGAACCTCCAACCTTTCTGTTAGCAGCTGAGTGGGTCAACCATTTGTACCATGCAGGGATTCAACACAGCCCTAGAGACTTAAGTATGTGTCCCACCGACAAAGGTGCACTAGGATCCACCTTAGCCCTCCATCAGGGTAAGAGTGTTGGGAGGCTGAGTCCTGAGAGGCAGACTGAAGACCAAGGGCTCTGGAATTGCTATTTAAGAGGGGCTTGTAGGGCACAAGAAGATGGGAAGAAGAGGCTGGGAACTTGGGTTAAGCTGTCTCTGCAGAGGGAACTTGCTCTTGTCATCTGGGTAGTCTTTGGGAAGGCTAACATGGTGGTTAATGTGGAGTCCCTCCCTCTGTGGCTCTTTGTACTGACACTGAGGGCACCCACTTCAGGGATAGCTGGGCTACTCACCCAACTGGCCAACACTTTGCCTTCAGTGTTTGTCCTATTGCCTGGCGAGGTTCCAGGGTCTGGTCAATGCCAACAGATGCTCCGAGGGACCCTTGCACCTGGTCCATCCAAAGACCCAAATGCCTGGGCCAGGTGACTTCCCTAGAAGGGTTCTTCCTAGAGAAGACTTCTGGAGGATGACTCTCCACCCCAGATTGGGTCTACCTCTGGTTTTGTGGACCCCATCATTGTCATCAGAAATTGTCCATCAGGCACCCCTGAAACCGGAGGGTGCGTGGGGAGTCAGAAGTGTGGAGGCCCAAGAGTTACGGTGAAGGACAGAGCAGGGTGGCCATCCCTGGGAATGCTGCACCCAGCATGGTAAGCATCTGGTCCCGCTTAGGAGTTTGTTTGACATTTGAGTGGACCCCAAAGCTTATGTGGTTTTTGGAGCCTGACAAAGAATTCAAAATAAATTCCTGCTGCTTGCAAAAGCTGAGGCCCATGCCTGGCCTTTTGGCCCAAAGTTGTGGGGAGCTGCCTCCCAGGGAGCTCCCAGAATGTGCCCCTGACCGAGAGTTGTGCCACCGGCCCGCTGGCGGCCTCTCTGGACTGCTGCCCACAACTTCCCAGAGTCGTGATGGCCTTCTTCCTATTGTGGCCCAAGTCACCAGGTTCTGGGGAAGAGGCTGGTCCCTACACCCAGAGTTTCTGTGTGTGTGCCCTGGTGGAAGGGGAAAATTGCCCACCTACTTGCAAGTCACTGCCCCTTGTGGTGGTGACAGGGTCTTTTAGCAGCTGGGAGGTCTGTGATGAAAATAGGCTGAATGCCTGGGAGTTTCCTAAGAACGAAGGCCTGTGGGAACCTAGACAGCACGGACCAAGGGGCCTGCCTGGCTAGGAAGGTCATGATGTGCAGCCCAGCCCCAAAGCCAGCCATCACTCCAGTTACCCTGAACATGACTTAGCAGCTGACTGTGAGAGGGCAGCTTCCAGGCCTGCCCAGTTTCCCACAGTGGAGCCCTGACTACACAAAACCAAGATGAAATGCTTGCAGGCTGAAGGTCCAGGCTGGGACTAGGAGGGCACTGAAGAGGGACTCAGGGACCCAGGGAGGCCTCTGAGGGACTCTTCTAGGCTAAGGGAGGTGACAAGCTGCAAGATGACCATTCAGTGGTCTTTGCTAACTGGAGAGAGCAAATGAGCCTGACTACCTGGGGTGCACTATGGACTCAAGTATACCACCAATCATGAAGATGGCTCAAGACTGGGCAATGTGTCATTGTGTTATATACACATAAGGTCACTATAAGTTGGAGCCAAATGGATGACAACCAAAAGCTGGGACACATGACTCAGTGGCTCTGAGTCACTGCAAGTTACCACTCAAGGATCATACGCACCCAATCGTCCAGGTGACATCACTCAGCAAATATGAGGAAACCATCCAGCATCACTGCCCAGCCCTTGGGATGCAACTGGTTAACAGCCTGGGACAATTGCTGTTAACCTGAGACAAATCTGTTCATACTGGTCTTTGGTAAAACCTCCCACAGCTCTCCACTGCCTCCACAAAGCCAACCTGGCTCCCACCTACCCATGCAGCCTGATTGCCCCCATCAGCCCTCCCTCATCTCCAAGACCATCCACAACCAAGGCTGTCATCCTCCAGAGACACAAACATTGTCATCCCCCAGTTGTACCATATATGGTCACACTTGGATGCCTTTGTTTAAGCTACTCTCTCTGCCTAGAATGTTTATTTCTCCTCTTGGCCAGGTGAAATTCTTGCATATGCCAAGACTTCCAGGTCAAATGCTACCATGTCTGTGTCAAAATCTCCCCTGACATCTACCCGCCTTCCCCATTCTCCATCCACCATAATCATTCAGTCCTGATCATCTCAAGTTGTTAGCTGTATCTGTTTCCTCCCTGGGTATCTTAAGGGTTCTTTCTTCTTCCTCTTTGTGTCTCTAGGGTCTAACACTGCCTGACACATAGTGTACTAGTAATACTCCCCTGCTACACTTAATCCAGTGTTTCCCAAAAAGTGGAAGAACAGGAGAGATGGAGGGAAAGAGGATTTTAGTATCAGGCACTCAGTATTCAACGATGCTGAGTCATGTGGTGAGAAAGTGATTCCTTCCCAATGATCTTGGAGCTTCCTTGTTAGTGCAGTTGAAAAACATCTCCATCTGAGGCTCCTCCAGCACTTGCCAGGCTCTCTTTTCAGCAGGAAGAACAACCCCCAGGGTTGAGCTTCCTAAAGTATTGGTGTCAGACTAGAATTTAAGAACATTTTGTTCTCCTTTCCATTTTTCCCTCAGTCACCTTCTCTTTATGGTGAGTGGTAATACTTTCAACTTATGATCATGATACAAAGTTTCCTTTTAAATGGATTTGTTTACGTAGAAAAATGAGTCATGCACTGTTTGCAGTATCAAAAAAGTGTAACTCATCTAAATGTCCCGAAACAGGAGGATCGATAAATAAACTGTGGTATATTCAGACAATGGAATCACATATAACAGTTAAGATGAATAAACTTGGGCTAATTATAGCAACATGGATGAATCTCAAAAATCTAATGAAGAGGGAGAAAGAAATTTGTAAAAGGATGATAAAACAGCATGGTACCACTTACAAAAGCCTAAAAAATGCAAAACCAATGTTATGTATTTTCATGTATACACACATCTGAATAAACAGCATGTTCCAGAATGATAGGTAAATTCAGCGTGGAGGTTTACTCTGGGGAGACAGGATGGCAAATTTATACAGAGAACTTCAACTAAAAATCTGAACCAAAATACGACAAAACGCTAAGGTGTGATAAAGCTGGACTGTGAGTTATATTATTTCCAATACCTTTTTGTATGCCTGTAAAAAGCGAAAAAAAAGTCACTGCTGTTGAGTTGATCCTGACTCATGGCAACTTCTCCTTGGGTTTCCAAGGTGGTATGGTATCTCTATGGAAGTAGATCGCCCAATCTTCCTTCCTAGGAGTGGTTGGTGGGTTTGAACTGCCAGCCTTCCGGTTAGCAGTCAAATGCCTTAGGCACTATGTCACCAAAGCTCCCAATGTTTGTAAAACTTCATAATATAAAAGATTTAAAAATAGAGAAAACACAAAATCCTGTCCTTTTATAAAGATATAAATTTAAATTAAAAACCTAATAAGAAAACAAGAGAGAGAAGGTAGAGGGAAAAAATGTGAAGGTGGTATGTTGTGAGGCTGTAAGTTTCATGAGTTCAAGAACTGTGTCTGCTCTGGTCACGGCTGTATCCCAAACACCTAGGACTGTGCTTACCACAAGTTTAATAAAACTTCAATGTGTGCCATAAAGCCCCATTACATTTCAAATTCCATGAGCACAGGGACTGTCTCTTAGCCACTGCTGTATCCACAGGGTCCAGCACTGTGCCTGGCATATAGGAAGCCTTCCATACATATTTGTTGAATGAATAAATGAAAAGACCACCCAGCAGTAGTGAGGCAGTTCCAAGTTTCACCACCAGGTGGCACTTGGTCCTTGGTCCTGAGCAGACTACAAGGCAATGGCCTGAGTGATCAATTTGGTCCCAAGCCACTGGCATGGATCTGAATAGAGGAAGCCAATGGATAAGACTGTCAGTTGGCCCCTTTCCCAGCTGACATGGCATGAAAACTAGAGTCCCAGAGGAACCCACCCTTTATCAGAATTGCATAAGATAATTGGAGGAAGGAGCCAAGACCTGCACATGATGCAATAGGGGCACCTGTGTACAGCAGGTGCCTGTGAGTGGCTCCCAGCCCATGTCCTCACACACCTGTGCATGTCCATCAGCCTTATTCTGGTGATGATCTGCTCTGCTTATCACCACCTCACTTCATGGCTTCTAAACAGTCCACGAAGTGGCTCTGAGGGCATAATGGTTAAAGCACTTGGCTACTAACCAAAAGTTTAGAACCCATCATCTGCTCTGTGGGGGAAAGATGAGGCAGTCCAGTTCCATAAAGATTTACAGCCTTGGAAACCCTATGGGGCAATTCTACTCTGTCCCATAAGGTCATTAGGAGGCAGAATCGACTCACAATGAATTTTGGGTTTAAATAGCCCATCCTCCCACCCCTACCCTCCACTCCTCCACCTTCCCCTCACCCCACCTCACTCTTGCCTAAATGCCTACAGTATAAGGTCTCCCACCATCTGGCCCAACCTACCTCTCCAGCCTCAATTCCCATAGCTACACTACACCAGGGCTGCAGTCCTTCCTCTGGGCCAGTGTCACAGTGACAGGCCCTTGTCCTTGGACAGTGCTGCACCTGCATGTGACCCTAGCCTCTGGGCCCCACCCTGCCACCTCTTCTTTCCCTTCTGCTTCCCAACGCTGCTGTGCAAGCCCCAGGGACTCCCACTTACAGAGCCTCCCTCTCCTCTAAGCTCCTCAGCCACTTCTGCACTTCACATGACGCTTCCAGGACCACAAAGCACGTTTTGTGTGTGTGTGTGTGTGTGTGGTTTTTTTTTTTTTTTTTTTTGTCTCTGGTTTCCCATGCCCTAACCCGTGCTCTGCACACATATTGTTAGGCAGCATACAGTCATATGAATAGGTCAGTAAAAGAAAAAATGGAAACATGGCAGATGCTTCATAAATACTTGTTGAGTGATCCAGTGAGTAAGAAACTCAGCAGGGCATGGGTCTACTTTAAACTGGCTTTTCTGGACCTTTGTAGGGCAGTGGGGGTTCATCCACTCTTTCAACAGATACTTAATGAGCACCAGCTCTCTGCCGGCACTGTTCTACCCACATCACTGAACAAAGTCCCTGCTTCCATGAAACTTATATTTGTGGGCTGAGAGGCCAAATGATAAACACACAAATAGAAACACAGTATATCGGATGGTGATAAATGCTGTGAAGACATAAATCGGGGTGAAGGGAGAGAGTGATGGGGCAGGGCGGTCAGAGAAGGCCTTTCTGATCAGAGGTCTGAATGAAGTGCGGTAGTGAGAACGGCTGAAATATGCGAGAAGTAGTCCAGCCAAGGAAAGCAGCAAGTGCAAAGGCTGTGAAGTGGGAACCTCGTCAGGAGTAGAACTAGGTTAAATTGCCCTGCATACTGAGCACATTGACTAAACCCAAAAGGTAAATCAGCGGCAGGCAAGACCAATGGCACCTTCACCCAGTCCCACTCAGCCCAGGACTGGCCAGCTTTCCTATGCCTTCCACTCTGGAGACACTCATCATGCCCAAGTCAAGCTCAGGGCCTGCAGCCATGATGATTCTGGATTGGGGAAAGAAGGTGCTGGGGTGTCTCCCAACGCTGCGAGGGCGCCCCCTGCGGGCAGCGAGCGGTGCCCAGGGGGAAGACAGAGGAAATCAATGGCGGGGAAGGCGGGGGCAGGAATAGTCCTGCAAAGTGCTCGAGGGGCACCAACATCTAGATACATACACAGCCGCATACAAAGACCCAATTCTGCACATACTCACTGTGCCACAGCTACCAAAAAAAAAAAGCAAACTCACTGCCATTCAGTCAATTCCGACTTACAGCGACCCCCTTTGGGTTTCCGAGGCGGTAAGTCTTTACAGATGTAGATTGCCCTATCTTCCTTCTACAGAGCGAGTGATGCCAACCTTCTGGTTAGCAGTAAAATGTCTTAGGCACCACGCCACCAGAGAGCTGAATCCAAAACGTCCAAACGCCTACCCCTCCCCCACTCCCATGCTCAGCCCACGCCGACCTGCGCCCCAACCCACGGTCCTGTCCGCGAGCGCTTTCGCTGCTGCCTGCCCCCTTCCTGAGATGTGTCTGCCTCCTGTCCCTGGAGCCAGGATACCTTCCACTCTAAGCTCGCACAACCTCCTCTGTGCCTATAGCGCCCGGCTCCCGCCACCCCTGCTGCAACCGGAGCGCTCACCCGGCAGTCCCCACCCCGCTCCCCTCCGAATCCCAGCAGCGCTGCGAACGCGGGTTAGTGCCCGCCAACGCAGAGAGGTGCCTTAAAGAAGGGTTTCACGTCGGGGCTCCGCGCGAGCTAGTGCGAAAAAGCGGGAATGGTGGTGGTCTTTCGACTCCTTGAAAGCGGGTCAGATCTTCGAGCCCTGGCTTCGGGACCCGAGACTGTACCCCGGTAGCACAGAGGCCAGGGGGACGCAGGACACAGCCCGGCTCCCTCTCCTGCCCCCGGAGTATCCCGCCACTAGTGCGCGCACACGAGGCCCGGCCGTAGCTCCTCCCATGCACCGCTCTCCCGCGCTCACCCGGTGAGCCGCCCTCGCGGCGGGATTGGGGGCGCAGCCCCAGGCCGCTGCGAAGTTCGGGGACGAGGCAGAGTCGAGATGGCCCGGGACCGGGCTGCAGGCTGAGGCTGGCCCAGGGGGCTGCTCCTCCGCGTCTGCGCAGGTGGCTGGATTCCGCGCAGCTGCTGCGCGCGGGGCGGCCTCCTGGCCTCAGCTTCGGCGGGATTTCTGGGGCTCCCCCGGCCCAACTGGGTCCGCTCCGTGGGCGGCAAACCCAGGATGGCTGCGTCCTGCTCCCGGAACAGACTATACACCTTCGCTGCTGCCCTCGCGAGGTGACTGCCCCCGGGGCGCCTCAGACGGTTCGCGTCCCTGCTAGCCGGCTCGTATCTCCCCATGAGGTCCCTCTGGGCATAACTCATGCCCACGAAGAGAACCAGGAGGATCGGCAAGAAGCCCCTCCAAAGTTTCTGCAGGACCAGCCCGGGGCAACGGGCAGCGGGCGGTGGCCTCATGGCGCCAGGGGCGGCGGGGAGTCGCGCGCCCTGGGAGCTGCACCCGGGCCTTGGAGTTGGCGCCCTGGAGTTGCCTGCGGGCTGCGCTCCGGACCCTGCCAGGCGGCCCACTTTCTCCTAGTCCAGAGGGCCCCGGAATAAGCCGACTGGTGCCGGGCTGTCCCCAGCGCGAGGGCCTGGCGGTGTACGCTGCTGTGTGAGCACCCTGCGCCTCGTGTCCGCTCTCCTTCTCCAGCCGGATGCGCACCGCAGCTGCACCTTCGCGCCTCCTCCCCTGTCACTGAAGCCTTCTGAAGGGAAACGGAGAGTTTTATATTTGGAAACCTCCCCTGCTTTTTCGTCTCTTTTATCCACACCGTGCCCCCTCCTCGGAGGGACAGCTCGGCCCCCTCATTACGGGAGAGGGAGAAAGGAATTTCAGCAACACCCACTTTGGCACCGGTAAGCGAGCGGGCGGCGAGGGGGATTAACCCCTGAGGAGCTGGGGGTGCCGCAGGGCTGACCCCAGGGCTGGCAGGGGAGATGGCGCCTGCCGGGTAGGAGGACCTGCGCCACCTTTCGCATGCCCTGGGCAAGCTCCAGCTTCCAACCTGTCCCGTGTTTATTTCCCGCCCTGACCTCAGGAGCAAACTCCCTGTCAGTTGACAAAGGCTGAAGCCTCCAAGGTCTGAAGGGGTCCAGGAGAGGTACTGTAACTTGCATGTCAGGGACAGGGCCTGAGGGATGAGCGCCAAGCCCCTAAGCTTCCTGCCCTAGCCGCTGGGGGCGCCCGCTCGGAGTGTCAGCAGGCCCTGGGCCGCGCCTGGGAGCTCGCCTCCTCACGTCGCGGCCAGACGCCTGGAAGGTTGCCTGGGGTCGCGCGCCCTCTAGTGGAGTTGGCTGCATCCTTGGTCATCCAGCTGTGCGAAAGAAAAGAAACCTGTCGCCGCCAGACGCCCGGATAGTGTGTGGGCGGGACGCTCGCAAGCGGACCTCGTCTCTGGCCAAAATCCCGTTGATGTTAGACCCTTCAAGTCTTTACTTCCTTGATCTTAATGCTCTTCCTCAGGGTAGGTGGTGATGGCAGAAGCTGGAAGAGGTGTCCTCTTGTCGCAGAAGCAAGACCCCCGAACTGATGCATTTGAATTGTGGTGCTGGCAAAGAATATTGATTGCACCATGGACCGCTAGAAGAAAGAACAAATCTGTCTTGGAAGAAGTACAGCCAGAATGCTCCTTAGAAGCGAGAATTGCCAGATTTCATCTCTCATACTTTGATCATGTTGTCAGAAAGGACCATTCCCTGGAGAAGGAGATCATGCTCGGTGAAGTAGAGGGTAAATGAAAAAGGGGAAGACCCTCAAGGGGCTAGATCGACACAGTGACTGCTTCAGTGGGCTCCAGAACGGCAAGGACTCTGAGGACAGTGCATGACTAGGCAGTGTTTCATTCTGCTGTACACAGATGGGGTCACTAGGAGTCCAAACTGACTCAATGGCACCTAACAACATAGATAAGGAGCTGCTGGGATAAGGTCATTCAAGGAGACAGTGTGTATCAAAGAGGGAAAGGAAATCCTGGCCTCCTGCCTCTGGCTCAGAGCTCCATCCCCTGGACTTGCTCCCCCAGCCCCTCACTCCCTGGGGAGTTTCCTGAGGGAGATTACATGAGCCTCTAATCCAGTAGGTGCTCAAGATCAAGCTCACATGGGAAGTGTGCACTCACAATCTTCTCCTGTTGGCACTGAGAGGGGAGGGGCTCCATGCCAAATGCTATCTAGCTGAGTATTCCACCAATCAGCTTGCACATCCATGAACTCCTGCTCTAATGCCTAGAGGCCTGGGCACACATGGTTTCCCTTGGTGCATTTTTTACAGCCAAACTGTTTCTCACTTCAGGAGGCAGAGTGAAGGATAGGCAGGAGGGTACACTGTACAAAGGACCAGCCCAGTTGATACCTCGTGTTGGAAGAAAACCTCAACTCCTGACCTTGGCCTATAAAGCCCTATATGATCTGGCCCCCTCTCTGACCCCATCTCACTCCTTGCTCAGGAACTCACTGTAGTGCATGAGCACTGGCCTCTCTGCTCCTTAAACTCACCAGGTTAATGCCTGACACTCTTCTCCAAGATATTTCTAGGACTAGCTACTCATCGCTTCACCTCTGAGTTCAAATGTCACCCTGACCACGCAATTAGAATATCCCCACCCCATCACCACTGTCACCAAGTCACTCACTCTGCCAGTCCTCCTCTTTCATTATCCTCATTGCTCTAATAAGTAGTTGGAATTACTTGCTTACTTGTATAACTGATTTGTTGATCTGATGAACCTGAAGGGAAACAATCAAGAAATGGCTTTTTCTCCACCAGTTTCTTCCTTTGGTGTTACGGTGAATTTCCCTTCCTACCCTTCATGACATTTCAGACAGAGTTCTTGGTTTTTCCATTCCTATAAGTCACAAGAACTGTTTCATTTTGGTAATTAAGACCAATTTTCAGGATCTGCAAAGTCCGGTCCTGTCCAAATCAAAACCTCAATCTCACATCCTATTAAAAACTCCTCCCCTTCCCCAACAGGCCCGTCCCTTGGCTCAAGAACCTGTAGTGGGGAGAGCGGGAAGTGGTGGTCTGTTTTTCTGATCTTCGTTCTCTGCTTTGGCTCCTCCTTGTCAAGGTGGGGCAGAAGTTTTGGAGGAAAAGTAGCAAAGTCTTATGTGACAGGTACCCTTGATTGGCAGGTGCCATGCACTGGCTCTTTCATGGGTATATTTGTGGGTTCTTGGGAGGCTCTCTGCAGGATTGCAACCCACACTCATTCCCACACTGTTGTAGTGAAGCACTGTCTGGCCAAGCTTGTGCAGACCCCCACATGCTCTGCCCCACATGGGACTTTCATGTCCATGTCAAACCAGTGATGAGTTGGCTGTGCCTCACTCTGCCATAAATCACACACACACACACACACACACACACACCACCTGCCAGGCTTCACACTCAGAACTCTCCAGATAGGAAGTGTCCACCTGTAGACACGGCTCTTCAGTTCTCATTTCCTACAGATATATGTTGGGCTTTCCCAAGGACTTTCCTACTGTACTTTGGTGCACTGAGATGGCCTGCAAGTTCCAGCAACTCAGCCAGCTTCAGTGGAGAGAAAGTTGTGGGGAGTCGTGCCAGTCTTCCCTACTTACCAGGCCCCCAATCTCCACGGTTGGTTCTCCTGGGACCTCCCTTTCCTTGGTTGGCAGCCCTCCCTACTGGGGGAATTGTTCTCTAGCTCAGTGGCTTTCTTCAATCCCTTCCATTTGTAGATTGGACTTCAAGCATGGGGTTGGATGGTTGTTGAACCTGTTCTGCCTTTAGTACTTCTCTTTATAATTGGAGGATATTTAGCCCTTATAGTTCTACTGGAAATTCTAAGACCAAGCAGAAGACCTATTCAACAACCATATGATCACTTATCTTCAAGATCACGTCGCTGATAAGTAGCAGGCACAGAATTCAAACCCAAGTGATAGCTCTGCAAAAACAGCTGTCTTACTACTCTTTCCTCAGAGCCTAGGACAGTGCTTGACTCTAATAGACAGCCAAGAAATAGGTGTGGAATGGATGCTAACTGAATGAGTAACAGAATAATCCCATGGAGTAGCGAGGGCTGGTATCATTAGACTTTTTTTGAGAGAGAAAAAACTGAGGTTCTGGGTGATAGTTATTAGCCCAAGTTAACCCACTTGCTGCCTTTAGGTCTAGCCCTAAAGGAAGTGAGGTCTAAAAGGCCCCAAATCCATTAAATGGGGAAGAGAATGTTTGTTTAATAAATGGTGCTGGCAAAACTGGAGATCCATTTGCAGAAAAATGAAACAAGATC